ACTCAGACAGCAGTATGCAACAAAGTGCTGATTACCCCAAATGGAGCAGATGAAAGTTTTTGTAAGGGCAGAATGAGACAACAAAAATCTAATGTCAGCAATTGTCAGGCGAATGGAGGAATACTGAGCTACCAAAACAGGGTATATAAGATTGGACAGAACAGATCAAGAGCAGACGGGTTGCGAATCCAAAAAGCTAGGTCTGATCAACCAGGGCTCCCTCCCCAGCACTGAATCTCGCTGCCGCACATAAGCTCCGAAAGGGGAACAACACCGGTCGTAAGTTACAACAAAAAATCCCCAAAAGGCGAAACATAAAGAAAAGAATATCGCCTGTATCTAAGTAATGCTTCTATCTTTCTTAACGTGAGTATTATATGTTTGAGAACTCCACAAATTGTTTAATGGTAAATCTGGAAGATATATCTGTAGGAAGAGTTATTATTTCTTGTTTTTTTTTAACTGTACTGTTTTTCTACTTTTTCTTTGTATATTCTATTGTCTTAAAAGAATCAAAAATAGTGAATTGATTTACATGAAAAATTAATTATAAAGTAAATAGAAAAAATAAAAAATCTTTGTTTGACCCTAAAAAGAAGTATTCCTCTGTCTGTGGTTTCAAATCCTTTAAAGAACCAAACCCTGGTTACCGAAATGATGGACTTAAAGTGTTGAAAGAAAGCGTGAGAAAGAGATGACAGTGATGGATGCTATAAGAACCTGGAGAGAGAGAGGCACCTCCCATACACTAGAGAATTTTACCCTTCCCCTCAAAATCCGCCCTGGTTTTGCTCCACCAGAGATAGCCATTATGCAAAGCTCTGGAAGGGTCCACACTGACACCATCATGCCAGTTAAAGCTGTAAGGCAGGGGTCTCCAACCTTTTTAAGCATGAGGTCACTTTTTGAATTGAAGTGCAATCTAGGATCTACCTCAGACCCAAATACCCTTCTCCGAGGCCCCGCCCCTGCTCACTCCATCCTCCTCCTTCCCCCATCTTCCCTCCCTTTCACCAGGCAGGGGCAGAGCTCTGGTCTTGGGTTAAGGGATCTGGGGTGTGCGAGGGGCTCTGAGCTGAGCCTGGGGCAGGGAGTTGGGGTGCAGGAGAGGTTTCAGGGTACAGGCTCTGTAAGGGAGTTTGGGTCCACGGGGCTCAGGGCTGGGGCAGGGGTTCGGGATTCTGGCTCCAGCTGGACCTTACTTACCTGAGGGGACTTCTGGGTGGGGGTGCAGTGGGGCTAAGGCAGGCTCACCCCTGCCCTGGCCCTGCACCACTCCCAAAAGCAGCCAGCAAACTCCCTCCATCCCAAGTCCCATGCCCCCCATCCCTTCTGTGGAGATAGGATACAGGATGGGAGGGGGGGCACCCTGACATCAGCTCCCCCTTCTCCCTCCCCTGCCCTGCACAACAAGCAGGGGCAGCTCCAAGGCAAAGGGCAGGAGATGTGCCGCCGTGTGGGGAGGGGCAGGTGAAGTGCTGGCAGTCCTGCCAAGCCCGTCAGGATCCCCTGCCAGAGGCTCCGAGATATACTGGTAGATCCCGATCGACTGCTTGGTGACCACTGTTGTAAGGCAATAAAAAAGCAGCAAAGTACTGCCTAGACTGAGACTCATATTAACAGAACAGAACAAAGAAAATAAGGGGAAATATCTCCCTACTAAAAATCTCCCAGCTCCCCATAACATTATTCTCCATTTATCTGACATTACGCCAACATGGTAACCAACACAAGTATCCTTCCCCTGTATAATTACTTTTCTTTTTTGCTTGCATGGGTTCTTCATACAGCAACTAGAGAGAACAAAACAGACTGATTTAAACTCTCTCCTTTAAAAAACAAACATGACTAGGTTCTGAGTAGGGTGATCAACAGTCCTGATATTTGGTGCTTTTTCTTATATAGGCGCATATTGCCCCCCTACCCTCCACCCTCTGTCCCAATTTTTCTCACTTGCTATCTGGTCACTCTAGCTTCAAGTTAACTGTGCTTCTTTTAGCATACCTGGCCCTTTCCCCTCCCTTCTGGGCCTAGCACCCAAATGGAACTGCACACATGTTGTTATCCCTTCCTTTAAACCAGGGATACATGTTCAGTCTCACTCCATGACCTCTCATCCTCACTCCAATGGATAAAAAGCAAAGCAAGGTGTTCAGTGCAGTTCACAGCCAGATCATGATAAAAAGGCAGTGCAGGATCTTTTGTTATCTCTTTGTCTGCCTGCTACAGCTGTTAATCGCGTGGGAGGTTCAAGAAATGAAAATTCCACTCCTCCATCACACATTCCAGCAGGGTTCAGAGAACGCAATGTCTGCATGATTATCCCACAGGAGAAATGCCGCCACACAGCTGTTTAAGTGACATACTACAGGGATGGCTGTGTCCTACATTCCACACAAGGGATCCTGTGCACATGTAGCAGGTACTCAATATTGCATCCCATCTCAACATAGTAATATGCTTGGTAAATTTCCAGAAAGGGCACTAATTTACAGTATTCCCCTCAAACCAGCGCAACGTCTTTTCGGTCATCTTAAATAAACTTCATTTAACAGAGTGTATTTCTCATTTTCTATCACATATAACTAAAATACCGTGTTAAGGTTCGCAAGGATCCACCATTCTTCCTGTTTCCACTTGGTCCTCTAATGTACATGCACTCAAATATTTTGAAAGGACCTAAAATGATCATACCAGTGCTCAGTTAGGAGATTCTATCACATATATGAAAAAAGTCATGCCTACACATACATACCTGTCGTTCACCATCATCAACTGATATCAACACAGCCTTAGGACTTACATCATTTGCCTGAAGAGGGAGCACTAATTAGTGGGGCTTTTTATATTCTAGGCGAAAGGAAATCACAAAAAGTATCCTTCAAAAGTGAATTCTCAGCTGAAAAAAAACCTTACAAAATGAGGCCATTTAGAGCCCAAAAAGTAATTTTCCCCAACAGATTATAATCTCTTCTCGAGTATCCCCATAGATCTCAAATGCTGGATTGAAACATAAGAGGCAGAAAAGTCCTAAACCATAGTTGGCTTCAGAGATCAAAAACAATGTTGTGAACGGCACCCAAAAGGCAACTAGAAATGACAAGGTTGGACCTCCCTGGTCTGGCACTGAATGAGAGAATTTGGGGGATCAGGGGAGGTCTTCTGCCACCAGCCCCTAAGTCCTCAGGGCTGACAGCTTGCTACCACCCCAGCTGTCCCCCTGCCTCTGCCTCCTCACCCTCCCAACCCACTGACTGCCAGCCTGGGTGGGGCTGCTGCAGGCTCCAGCCATTACCCCGTGCTGCCATGGGCTGCTGGAGACTCCAGCTCCGGCCCCACTGCTAGTGGTTTCTGGGGACTCTGACCCTGGCCCTGATTGCCACGAGCTGCTGAGGGCTCCAGCTCCAGTCCCATTGTTGCGAGCTTCCAGGGACTCTGGCCCCAGACTGCACTGCCACAAGCTGGTGAGGGCTCTGGCTCTAGCCCCTTTGCTGCGAGCTTCCAGGCACTGCAGCTCCAGCCCACCTTCTGGGAGCTGCCACTGAGCTCTGGCCCCCACTTGTCACCAGCTGCTGGGGGCCCCAACCCCAGCCCTAACCAGGCTGCTGGTCCTAATGCCATTAGGCTCCCAGGCAATCTGGTCCAGCAGCATCCTGATGCTGCTGGACCAGAGAGTGCCAGTTTTTGGAGGTGTAACCTGTAGTACAGACTATAAATCATAAGTATCCATGTGAGAGCTACCACTCAGCAAGCATGCACACTGCATACTCTTCAGAAAGAATAGCGCACAAGGACAATCACCTACAGAACACACTGTAGTAATCTAGTCTAGCACTGGCAAAAGAATGGATACTAATCAAAAGTTCCTCAATTGCAAACCTTATTTATAAATGGTAAACATACCTCACGCCCTTCATCTAACTTGCTATCAGCTCCTGACACTCGCTACACGTGTCTGTCTGGAGCTTCGGAGACCAAGCTTTCAGTCACGTTCCATTCTTGAAAGACAATGGAAAAGATGAGAGACCAAAGTGTCTGGGTCCAAATGTAATCAAAACCTGTAATACTTCAAATGGCCTTTCACTAAACCAGTGGCCCTCAACCTTTCCAGGTAACTACACCCATTCAGGAATCTGATCTGTCTTGAATACCCCAAGTTTCACCTCACTTTAAAACTACTTGCTTACGAAATCAGAAATAAAAATATTGAAGTGTTACAGCACACTATTCCTGAAAAAATGCTTGCTTTAGTTTTTCTATATAAATACTATATAATTCTAAAATAAATTAATTGGAATATTGTACTTACATTTCAGTGTATAGTATACAGTGCAGTTTACACAGGTCATTGTATGAAAATTTAGTTTGCACTGACTTTGCTAGAGCTTTTAACATTGGCCTATTGTAAAACTAGGCAAATACCTGGATGAGTTGCTGTATCCCCTGGAAGACTGCTGAGTACTCCTAGGAATACATGTAACCTTGATGAGAACCGCTGACTAAATTTCTCTAGCCATAATCCCTGCAATTTACACTTATGTACTGTATTTAACTGTAACTTTGTTACTAAGTTATATTATGAAAATATATTAACAAGCAAAATGATGATTTTCTTACCCTTTCTAGCTTCAATTCACATTCGCTTTTATTTTCTACCATAGGACCTTTTCAGTATTTAAAATGACTTAGCATTTTACAGTAGGTCCTTGTTCTCGCACAGTGCCTTCAGCCCTCACTAATAGCAAGAAAGACCAGAAGCACTGTTGAGTCTGAAGATCCTTGTATGGTGCTCCAAATGGGAAGGGTTCGCCATTGCTGCTTTCCTGTTATTGTTACAAACTGAAAGCCTCTGAGCCAGGGAACCCTTTTTCTTCAAAACTGTCCGGAAATAAAAATACACTAATCGGAGCCTGTCTGTAGACATCGCCTGCTTCAAAAGAAGTGTATGGAGCCTTATGAAACATTCCAATAATCCCATTTCCTTTGTCTCAGAGACCTACCCAGGTATCCCAGCTGTTGCCTGTGTCTCGTCTTTCAGGAGTGACCCTGTGCCACTCAGCCGATCCTGCCGGCGTTGGTAAAGCTTAGAAGATGCCAGCCCCCGAAGTCTCATGCCAGCCATAGTACCCAATGCCACTGAAGGGGAGTGCAGAAAGACAACTGGAGAGAACAAAAGCACTGAAAATTCAGTGAGTCACTTTCCTTCTGGGAGTTTCGTTTAGTTCTCAAAAGTGCTAAATCAAGACAAGTAGACTGCTGCTGCTTCTTACACATTATCCACCATGCTCTTACAAGTCGAACAAATCAGATTTTCTTTCTTTCCTGTATCCCACTGGTATGACCCTACTGAAGGCAGTGGGTAGGAGCAGCATCAGAGATTAATTCTGTGTCAGATTTGCACACTGAATCTACAACTGCTCCATTTTCCAAGACATGAATTTAAAAATCTCATTCTTCAAGTAACTCATCCACTTAAACCAATAAAGCTTCTCAATCAAACCAGAAAAGAAACACAGAAGAAATGCAAACGAGGTCAGTGATCTCCAAGCAAACAACTCTGTCCTTTACTGCAGGCTATCATCAGATCCCGGCTACTCTAGTCCCCTGCGAGAGCATGCATTACACAATATGAGGAAGGGTGTTGCAATCAGCAGAACCCTTCACTCCAGGTGTATAACGCATCCCCCCAACAGTGAAAGCATGAAGATTCTTGCTCTCCAGATAAACTCCAGTCTCCAAAAGTTGCATGCTGTGTAAGATCAGGAAGTTGAGAAAAGGAACATACTTGACATTCCAGCCTCCAGAGCACTGGCTCTGCTAGTAACTGTGCAGGGTTTCAGCCAGGCGCCCACCCTTTGCATGGCTCCTGCCTCCCACCCCCTAAAGGAAGAGAGGATCACATTACATAAATGGGTCTTGAAAAAAAATCTGAAACAATAAAAGTCGATTCCTTAAAGGAACTGAGTAGAGGATGGCAGGCACGTCCAGGCCAGAATATCATCCCATCAGAAGTAGCACAGTCCAAGAAAATCAATCCAACGGCCATTGTAATCCTTGGCTATTTATTTTACAATAAATTATGCAGGCAAAAACGGGATTTTCAAGGCAGTAATGAGAGATTAAGTAAGTCATATTTACAACCTGGAAAACTTTAGAAATAATACAACGAGCGGAATGATTTGCACAACTGTTTAACAGGGAATGACCAACAATGGTCCTTTCTGATATTAAAACAGATGAGGGAAGTACAGGTTGCACCTCCCAAAACCGGAATTCTCTAGTCCGACAACATGGACCCTGGATGTTCCTGGATCAGAGAATCCCGGTAGCCCAGTGGCAGGAGGGCAATCAGGAGAGGCTGGGCTGAAGCAATGGGAGGGGGTAGAGGCTGAGGCTGGCATCCGCCCCCAGCAGTGAGGCTGGAGCTGGCAGCAGCCCCCAGAAGCCCACAGCACTGGGGCTGGGTCATGGCATCCCTCAGCAGCGCAGGATCGGTCTGAAGCCCTGGACAGCCTGTGGAAGGGGTCAGAGACTGTGGGCTGCTATGGAACAGGAGCCCGAGCCTTTGGCAGCCCATGGCAGTGGGACGGGGGCTGGCGGCAGCCCCAGAAGCCCGCCACAGCATGGGGTTGGAGCCCTGGACAGACTGTGAAAGCAGGGCCAGAGTCCATGGGCTGCTGTGGGGCTGGGACCAGAGACTGAGCCCTCGGCAGCCCCTGGCAGCCCAACCAAGGCCAGAGCCAGTCTGTGGCAGCGCGGGGCCAGAGCCTATGACAGCCCGCAGCAGTGGGAGCTGCTGGAGCACAGCAGGCAGTCCCGCCTGGGAAGAGGCAGTGGGGCCAGCAACCTAGCAGGCAGCCCAGCAGGGGCTGGCAGTAGTCCACCCGCTCCCCTCCGCCCCACCACTAGGAGCTGGCGGCTGGGGGCAGTGGCAGGGAACATTCTATAGTCCAGCAAATTCCCTAGTTCAAGACCGGTCAGATCCCCAGTGTGCCGGATAAGAGCTGTCCAACCTGTAGTTTATACTAGGGACGTCATAGTGTAGTCGATTAACTGATAAGCAAAAGCTTATAGGTTAATGCTATAGACTCCATGCATTTCCCTCCCTCGCCCCCAGCCAGTACATTTTTTAGCAGGCTGGCCAGCAGCCCGGCTCACTCCTGACTTGCGACAGGTCTGGGTCCTACCCCACTGCAGCTTTGCATTTAAAGTGTATTAGGAGCTAGGCAGACAGGCAGCCTCTGTCCTGGCTCGCGCTGGGTCTGGGACCTACCCCCGCTGTGGATCTACATTTGAAGTGTATTAGGAGCTACATAGGCAGGCAGCCAAGCTCATTTTTGGCTCATGCCAGGTCGGGAAGCTCAGACGTCCCCAGAACAGGGGCTGCTGCCACCCCATGCTGCTGCCTGTTTATCACTGGGCGACAGGCAGCCAGTCTGCAAGGGGAGCTTGGCTCCTCAGGAGTGAGACCGAAGCGCACTGGCTGCCAGCCCCACCCCTGGGGACTAGAGAATAGTCAACTAACTGATAAGAATTCATGAGGTTACTCGATTATTCAATTAAGCGATATTTAACATCCCTGGTTTATACTAGAATCTAAGGGTGTGTCTAGACTACCTAGTTTTGTCGACAAAAGTGGACTTTTGTCGACAAAACAATACCAGCGTCTACACTACCGCGGAGTTCTGTCGACATAACGTCGACAGAACTCCGCGGTTTTGTCGACGCTGGTATACCTCATTTTACGAGGCATAACACTTTCTGTCGACAGAACTCTGTCGACAGAAGGTGTTATTGCCTGTAACACTGCGTCCAGACTACGGAGTTCTGTCGACAAAGCGGCTTGCTTTGTCGACAGAACTCCATGTGTCTGGACGCAAATTGTCGACGGAAGTTTTGTCAACAGTATCTGTCGACAAAACTTCCGTCGACAAAACGCGGTAGTCTAGACGTACCCTAAGTTAGCCAGCAGAGATGAAGAAAATCATAGTTTCAATGAGAAAGCAGCAGCAGCCTCATCTTCAGTTCCTCCTACCTTTCAACAAGGGCTTCAAACTGTGTGCACCACAAGGTGATCTGCACAGAGGCTTTTTCACTTGCCCTTGTGCTTTTTTTATATCATTTTACTTCTCTACAGTGTATAATGAGTACCTGATTTTTTATTCAAAATGGAGTTTTCTGCTTGCTTTTAACTTCAGAAATATCAGGTATGACAGATCTGATCTTCCCAGGTATTGCTGAAGCATCTCCTAGGAATGTCTTAGAAGATGTACATAGTTAAGGGTAGGGTTGCCAGGTGTCCAGTTTTGAACCAGACAGTCCAGTATTTGAGTTTTCTGTTCGGGAAACAAATTGAGAAAATATTAATGTCCGGTATTTTCTAAATAAGATGTAATGTTGATAGTGATGTAATGTCAAGTGTGTCCGGTATTTTTGTTGAAACCATTTGGTAACCCTAGTTAAGGGTGTTCAACTTTACCTGGGAGTGAACATGTCAAATAATTAACAAGTGTGTTCTTTCTTTCAAAATGTTAAAACTCAATGTTAAGACTAATTAACGTGTTTTAGAACAGTCTGACTAAAAGTCCCTTTCCCTCTCAAATACTCAGCTTTCACGCTCTCTGCTTTTATAATGTCGCTATTTCACTAGCTTGCCAGTCATCACAGTCTTTCACACTTAGACAGAACTAAACCTCTAATGTAGAAAACAAATGGAGGGGGAGGATAAACCCTTCAGAATTGACCAAACTGATTTACATTTTTTTTTAAAGTTTTTGGGATTTCTTTGAACATCACAGGCCAAAAATGGCTCCAGCCGAGATCTCCCAAAGCCCCACATCTGTAGATCACTTTCAAGAAACAGGACTGATGCCAAAACCTTATTAACAAATCACTTTCTGAGACTAAACCAAAGCAAAGACTGTGCCACACTGCTCTTAGGCACAGATGAGTAGCTACCAAGGGAAACAGCTCAATGACTGATCCATAAATCTCTAAAGACTTTCCAGTGAGTTAAAACTGACTCAGCTAGCCTCAGAGGACAGCTTTAGATTGAAAGATAAAAATAAAATGCATTTTTTTAAAGCCAGACCAAGAGTGATTGTTCATGATTCAGACAAAGTCCGCATTATTGCTCTTGTTTGCAGTCACAACTCTTGTTGTAATTAAAGCTTGCTCAACACTACCAACGTATGTCAGCATAACTATGTCGCTCAGGGGTATGGGAAAAAAAATCTGTACTTTTGAGTAATGTAGTTATACTGATATAACCCCTAGTATAGATTTGATGTGTCAACATGGGGGCTTCCTACACCAATGGGAGCAGCGTTTCCATCTGCATAGGTAATATGTTCACTATGTGCTACAGAGCATGGCTGTGGCTCTGTAAGAGTAGCTAAGCACTCACACTACCCATCTTCCCCACCACACTCTAACTCATTTTACTTGCAATTACATCACAAAGAGAAAGAGAATCACATGCACAGTAATAGCTCCCTTTTCTTGTTAATTAAATAGCCTGTGGACAGAAGCTGGCTTACTAAAATACTTTCATGGAAAGTAATATACTCCCTGCTTCTTATCCTAACTGGATTAGGAAGAATGAATGAGCATATCTGTAAGTACAGCTGTTCTTCTTTGTGTTGACTGCAGGAAGTACAGAGGAGTATCCAAATCCCAATAGGGCCCAAGTAAAATGATGACAAAGATATTTACTCATACCGATTACAGTAATAACACAGAAGCATGCACTAAGCACCTTTTCTTAGAACCTATTTGCAGTTGAAAAAATGTGTACTTTTTCTTTATTGATGCCATTTCAATGACAAAAGCTAAAACTATAACTAGAACACAGGTGTTTTTACCTATATGTTTTCTAACCTAAAGCTGCAGCGCTAGAAACAAGAGACAAATCTATTTTCTAGTCTGTTTACTTTGTGTGTTTGACATTACTTTGTTTATTGTCAGTTTCACTGTTTCTTATTTTGTGGGAGTGTTTCACTGTTTCTCTTTCACACAGCATCCAGGAAGGAAAAAAATAATAAAAGAAGGAAAAGCGATTGAGACACGATAAAAATTGTAGGGGATAAGTGGCAAGCACAGTACCTGAGGCCATTTGGAAATGGATTAGATTTCCTGTATATGATGTCTCTTCAAGGACAACCTTCATCAGACAGATGGTATTCTTTGCTTTTGCTAGACCTTTCAGAAATTGCTTTAGACACTTCAGTATATTGTATACGTGCATACCAGGGATGTTAAAAATCATTTAATATGGTAAGCGAGTAACTGCTAAAAATCTTAGCAGTTACAGTTACATGCACTGCAGACTCTACAGTATAAAGCCCCTGCTGGCCCAGCTCCCGGGGAGGCGGCTTCACTGCCAGTGGAGCCTGCAATCCTTGCCCACCTGACTCCTGGAGAGGAGGCTTTGCTGCCCCGGCACAGCAAAGCCGCCTCCCTGGGAGCTAGATATCATTACCCGATAAGCATCAGTTTATCAGTTAAACGGTTAATCGAGTAAACTCCAACATCCCTAGTACATGCATAGCATATTTCATCTAAGATTCTCAAATTGCTTTACAAGTTTTAATTATGAGATTTCATGTTACTTAAACCAAGCTATCAAGAAAATAGACGTCTCCACTCTCTCTCTTTTGAGGTATCTTGGGATGTTACTTATAACAATAACTAGTATTTTCAGTCAGAGGCAATTTTTAAATTGATGTTATCCTTTTAATCTTCACATTGTCCGCAAACTGGAATTTGTGAA